TATGATTGCAGTCTTCATAAATTTCGTGAGACTTGTTCTGTGGCCCAACATATGGTCTATCCTAGAGACTGTTCCATGTGCACTTGAGAAGAATGTGTATTCTACCTTTGTGGGGGGAGTGTCCTTATATGTTAGGTCTGGTTGAATTTTGTTAGATGTATCCATGCTTATCATTGTTGTATCTTTTTGATGATTAACCCTTTTAGTATTATAGAAGATTCCTCTTTGTCTTGTAATAATTTTTTTTCACACACACTGTATTTTATTTTTACAAGAGATAAATAAGTCTATGTTTTTCTGATATTAGTATAGCCACTGCAGCTCTCTTTTGGTTACTGTTTCATGGAGTATCTTTTTCCATCCTTTTACTTTCAACCTATTTGTGTCTTTAGATCTCAAGTGAGTTTTTGTAGACAGTCTATAGCATTAATATGTTTTAAAAAAAATATATTCTACCATTCTCTGCCTTTTAATTGGAGACTTTAATCCATTTAATTTAATGTAATTATTGATAAGGAAGAATTTAACTTCTGCTCTTTTGCTATTTGTTTTCTATATTTCTTATATCATTTTTGTTCCTCAATTCCTCCATGAGTGCTTTTTTGTGTTTAACAGATATTTCTTAGTATACCATCTTTATCTCTCTTCATTTCCTTTGCTGCATGTATTTTACTTATCTTCTTTGTGGTTGCCCCACAGATTATGTTTAACATCTTAATTTATAACAATCTAGTTCAAATTAATACCAACTTAGTTTTAATTATATGCAAAAACTTTACTCCTACATAGCTCTGCCCTCTTATATTGTGATTGTCACAAATTACATCTTTATACATTGTGTGCTCATCATTATAGATTTATAATTATTGTTTTATGCAATTGTGTTTTAAATCATATAGGATGAAATGAAATGAACAAACCCAAAATTCATTAATATTGATTTTTAATTTACCTATGTAATTATCTTTCCCAGTGTTTTTTATTTCTTTGTGTTGATTTCATTTACTGTCCAGTGTCTTTTTATTTCAGGCAGAAGGACTTCCTTTAACATTTCTTATATTTCAGATCTAGTAGTGATAAACTCTGTCAGTTTTTGTTCACTTGGTAATGTTTTAATTTTTCCTTAATTTTTGAAGGATAGTTTGGCCAGATTTAGAATTCTTGGTTGACAATTTTTTTTTCCTTTTAGCACTTTGAATATTTCATCCCATTACCTCCATATTTTCTGGTGAGAAGTTAGCTGTTTGTCTTATTGAGGATTCCTTGTGCATGATAATTTTCTTCTCTTGCTGCTTTCAAGATTCTCTGTATTTGGCTTTCAGCAGTTTGATTGCAATGTGTCTCAGTGTGGATCTCTTTGAGTTTATCCTACTTGGAGTTTGTTGAGCTTGGATGTGTAGATTCATGTATTTCATTAAATTTGGGAAAATTGTGGACATTATTTGTTCAAAAATTCTTTATTCCCCCTTTTTTCCTCTCCTCTCCTTCTGCCAGTCGCATAATACATACGTTGATATGTTTGATTGTGTTCCACAGGTCTGTTAGACTCTGTTCCTTTTTCTTCATTCTTTTTTCTTTCTGTTACTCAGGTAGTAACTATTCATCTCAATTGACCTATCTTCAAGTTCACTGATTCTTCTGCCTGCTGAAATATGCCATTAAGTCCCCCACTACTGAACTTTTTATATCAGTTATTATAGTCTTCAACTCCAGAATTTCTGTTTGGTTCCTTTTTATAATTTCTATCTTTTTATTTTTGTATTCTCTACATGATGAGACATTGTTTTCATCCTTTTCCTTAGGTTATTAAGTCGTTGTTTCTTTTAATTTTTGAATATATTTTAAATAGTTTATTTAGAGTCTTTGTCTAGTGAATCTAATTTCTTGGCTTCCTAAGGGGCAGTTTCAATTAATTTTTTAAAATAAATAAATAAATTTATTTATTTATGGCTGCTTTGGGTCTTCATTGCTGCGTGCTGGCTTTCTCTAGTTGAGGAGAGCAGGGGCTACTCTTCGTTGCAGTGTGCAGGCTTCTCATTGCAGTGGCTTCTCTTGTTGCGGAGCATGGGCTCTAGGCACGTGGGCTTCAGTAGTTGTGGCTCACGGGCTTCAGTAGTTGTGGCTCGTGGGCTCTAGAGTGCCTGCTCAGTAGTTGTGGCGCACGGGCTTAGTTGCTCTGTGGCATGTAGGATCTTCCCGGACCAGGGCTCTAACCCGCGTCCCTTGCATTGGCAGGCAGATTCTTAACCACTGCACCACTAGGGAAGTCCCATACTTTCTTGTTTCTTTGCATGCCTCATGTTTTTCTTTTGTTGAAAACTGGACATTTTTAAAAATTATAATGTGGCAACTCTGGAAATCAGACTCTCCCTCTTCCACAGGGTGTTGTTGCTGCATATTGTAGTTATTGTTTAGTGATTTTTCTGAACTAATTTTTTTTTTTTTTTGTGGTACGCGGGCCTCTCACTGTTGTGGCCTCTCCTGTTGTGGAGCACAGGCTCCGGATGCGCAGGCTCAGCGGCCATGGCTCATGGCCCCAGCCGCTCCACGGCATGTGGGATCTTCCTGGACTGGGGCACGAACCCGTGTCCCCTGCATCGGCAGGCGGACTCTCAACCACTGCGTTACCAGGGAAGCCCCCTGAACTAATTTTGTAAAGTCTATATTCTTTGTTATGTGTTGCTAATGACATGTGTGGCCTCTTTTATGTTAATTTAGAGGCTAGCTAGTGATTTGACAGTTTACTTGTATGTTTGGAACAACAACAACAAAATCCCAGCCTTTGCAGATGCCCTGTGTGTGTGTGTGTGTGAGTTGGAGCCTGTCTTTATCACTCAGCTAGGCAGTTTAAAACTCTGTCTTAGCTTTCACTGCCTGCTTGAGCAGAGCAGAGCCACTGTCAACCAGAGATAACAGTTTTGGGGCCTTCTCAGGTTTCTTCTGAGCATGAACTCAGCCCTGAAAATGTATGTGTGGTGCTTTCTAGATTCCCATGAACATGTCAGAGGTTTTCAAAGCCTTTATTCCTCAAAGTATCTCATTTCCTAGTCTTTCCTTCCTCACTTTTCAGTTTTTTTATTGTTTGCCCAAAATGTCATTCTTTGCCCCAGATAGCAGCTCTAACACATTTGCCTTGAAATGTTTTTGACAGATGTGCCCTAGGTAGCTGCCTAAGTCCTAAGAGAGTTCTGAGTTAGGCACATGCCCTTATAGCTAGTCCTCCAGGAAGCCACTGGACAGGTCAAACCACAATAAGGTCTGTTTTCCTCCGCCCAGGAGTGGGCACCTATACTGAGAATATGGGTTGTTGTTGTCAAAGCTGTTGCCAAACTGGAGAGTGGAGGATAGTACTAGGGTAAGTTAAAGTGCACAAAACTCCCTTATTGACATTCAACTATTTTTTTCTTGATTAAACATTCCCCTAGTTGCTATAAACTTTTGATTAGATTCTGGAGTTCTAGGCTGACCTTTAGAGTTCCTTATTCCACCATTTTTGCTGACATCCTATTTTTTCATAGTCTCTTAAAAAGCCCTTTTTATCCATACACCACCATCCTAGTTCCAGTTCTTATTACCTCATATCGCAACATTTTTAGGAACTCTTAAATGGATCCCTCTGACATACCACCACTTCCTTGATCATGTGACTTCCCTGCTGAGACAGCTGTAAGTCACAGTTCTGCCTTGCCTATTGAATGATGTCTCCAAGCTCTAGTCCCAGCATGATTCCAGCTTTATCTCACTATTCCTCCGGGTCTCACTTCCATGCTGTTTTGATGAATCCACATAGGTAGGCTGCTCCCAAGTACACAGTTTTCTTTCCACTGCATACCTCCATTAATGCTGTTTGCTCCCCATCAGGATTTTCCCCTACCCTCACTTCTGCCTACTGAAACACTATTCATCTCTTAAGAATTGGCTCAATGGGACTTCCCTGGTGGTCCAGTGGTTAAGACTCTGCACTCCCAATGCAGGGGATCCCTGGTTGGGAAGCTAAGATCCTGCATGCTGCATGGCATGGCCTAAAAAAAAAAGAATCAGCTCAAATGTCAACCTTTCTGTAAAGTCATTCCTAATTACTTCAACCAAGAGCTAATCTCTCCTTCCACCAAACTGCCATGATATTTTTGTTCCATTTATGTGATGTATGTCATATATTTCTTGCATTATTACCTATATTCATGTTTTCATTCACTCATTCTTTCAATATTTAGTAGCACCCACTTATATATTTATAATTTATATATACAAATTGCTAAGAAAGGAAAAAAACCCAGTAGGATTCTATGAGTAAGAATAGGATGAGCCCAAGTTTTTCAGGTTAGGAGTGCAGGGAGAACATGACAGACAGAGGGAACATGTCAGAGCGTTCGGGAGCACTCTGCGTGTGCCTAACGTTCTTTACCAGAGTCCAAGAAACATTTCCGTTAACAGAGTGCTTTATACCAACTGCACAAGAAGTAGAAGAATTAATGAATATACATTAAGAATAGAATTAGGTTTGATAAGAAAGAAGAACCCAATGGGACTTCCCTGGTGGTCCAGCGGTAAAGAATCCGCCTTCCAATGAAGGTGAAGGTGGGTTCGATCCCTGGTTGGGGAACTAAGATCCCACATGCTGTGGGGCAACTAAGTCCATGAGCCTCAACTAGAGAGCCCTCGTGCCGCAGTGAAGAGCCTGTGAGCCACAATGAAAGATAACGAGTGCCACAACTAAGACCCAACGCAGCCAAATATAATAAATTAATTAATAAAAGAGTGGGGGAACTAATTTTTTTTAAAAAAAGAACCCAATGATAAAGAAGAAGAATAAGTGTGAATTGTCAGAGAATAAGATCATTTAAATTCCTTTCTATTTTAATAAAATAGTAGTAGCAGTAGCAGCAGCAAGTAACTTTTATTAAAATCTCCCTCCAGGCTAGAAACTATGCTACGAGCTCTGTTTGTATAATTTTATATAGATTCTAAATTGTGTGCTGTCTGCCCTGTCTTTTCTGCAGTGTCTTGAAGCAGAGTCAGGATGTGGACCTCTCCTTCCTACAGCAACCAGTGGGATATGATCTCTTTAATGGTACAAAAAGAGGAACATTGTTTCTCACTTCATACCGGGTAATTTCTACTTCTACTTTGATCTGATTAACTCTACATTTTTCCTTAAAATGGAGAGAGGTTAAACATTGACTTTCAAAGTATTTTAAACCATTTCTCCTTTGAGATTTTCCATGTTGAAGTGTGATGGAAGAAAATTAGTCATGCTTCTCAATTAGGCCAGAATGCCAAAGCAGCCTTAACTTCAGAATTGCTCTTATATGTCTCAATCCATGGATAAATTGCATTCCTTTTCCAAAGTTTCTTTTCTCTCTTAGGTGATCTTCGTGACTTCACACTTAGTCAATGACCCCATGCTTTCTTTTATGATGCCATTTGGTCTGATGAGTAATTGCACCATTCAACAACCAATCTTTGCCCCCAACTACATTAAAGGAACCATTCAGGCAGCTCCGGATGGTAAGTGTCTCCCCTCAGAAGTATATTTTTTCTCAAAAGCTTCCAGAAGGTTTAAGATTCAGACTTGGCCCCTGCTTCATTGGGTAGTGCTTCTCTTATTGTTTGTGGCAGTCCTTCTGTTACAGCATGCCAGCCTCTTAGTGAGTGTGTGCCGTTTCTTCCTCCAGGTGGCTGGGAAGGACAGGCTATTTTTAAATTATCCTTCAGAAAAGGAGGTGCCATTGAATTTGCCCAGCTGCTGATGAAAGCTGCCTCTGCTGGTGAGCGATGCTTATAAAATTATCAAGCACTTTGGGGTTTGGGGGCCTGTGTAATTGAAGTAAGACTGTTAGCTAGTGAAGACTTCTGGCCTCTGTGGTCAGGCGGTTGATATTTGCACATGTATTCAGCGGGCATTTCCTGAGCCTACTGACTATGTGCCAAGTAACATACTACATGCTAGGAACACAAGATTTAGTCCCTCCCTGTCCTGAAGGAGTTTGCAGTCTAATGGGAGCTTACCGTCAGACACCTGAACAGCTAATTATACCTGATAGTCTTTTGTCCATTTAAGTGCCGGTCTCATGTATCACTGAGTAGTCTTGTTTTCGGTAGCGTGGCCTTGGCTCTTCTTCCTCTGGCATGGCTTTTTGTCTTCTCTCCTTTCTGACTTTGCCTTTGCTTCTCTTAGGTTTAATTCCCATCTTCCATGGGACTAAAGCATGGGAAGAGGTACCATCAAGCCCTGCAGCACTGATCTAATGGATGTACCAGAGGATACAAATAATCTTTTTATGTTATATTTTAATTCAATCTAGCCTCACTTTATATCCCTCATTCTCTCACCTTTTGTACTCCAATCCAACTGGGTTTCTTTGTGCCTTGCCCTCCCACCTCTGAGCCTTCATGCTATTTGCTCTGTCTGGAATGCTCTTCCCCTTTCTCCCTTGCCTTCTCCACCCCCAACTCCAGTCTAGCTGAGACAAACACAGTCCAGTAGAGATAGACATATGCAAATACATTATCCTGTCTTATGGCATGTGCTGTAATAGAGGCATGGGCAAAGTTCTGGGGACACACAGACGAATGTAATGAATTTTCTACCTTAGAAGACTGACTGGATCATGATGCTATAGACCATAGTCAAGTGTATAAGAGATAGTCTAGGGAATTCCCTGGCAGTCCAGTGGTTAGGACTCGATGCTTTCAGTGGTTGGGGATTGGCCCGGGTTCCATCCCTAGTCAGGGAGCTAAGATCCTGCTAGCCACATGGCCGAAAAAAAAAAAAATGAGTATAAGCGATAGTCTAAATTGGAGAGGAATTGAGTTCAACTTTAGACATAGTAATTAATACTACCTAACACTTATTGAATGCTTATCATATACTGGGCAGTGTTCCAAGGCCTTTACATGTGTTAATTTATTTAATCCTCACAAAAACTTATGATGTAGGTTCTATCATTATCCCCAATGTATAGCTAGGGAAACTGAGTCAGTGATGGTTATATAATTTCTCAAGGCTATACAGTTAGCAAGTGGTGGAGCTGGAATTTGAACCTTAAACATACTCTCTCTCTTTAAACTTTTCATTTTGAAAAAAAATAAGATCTATAGAAAGTTTTAAGAATATTACAGCGAACTCACATGGACCTTCATCTAGATTAACCCATTATTAACATTTTCCTACATTTGCTTTTTTAAAAATAATAAATTTATTTGTTTATTTATTTTTGGCTGTGTTGGGTCCTCAGTGCTGCACGCAGGCTTTCTCTAGTTGCGGTGAGTGGGGGCTACACTTCATTGTGGTGCACGGGCTTCTCATTGCGGTGGCTTCTCTTGTTGCAGAACACGGGCTCTAGGTGCGCGGGCTCAGTAGTTGTGGCGCGTGGGCTTAGTTGCTCCGCGGCATGTGGGATCTTCCCAGACCAGGGCTCGAACCCGTGTCCCCTGCGTTGGCAGGCGGATTCTTAACCACTGCGCCAGCAGAGAAGTCCCCACGTTTGCTTTATGTTATTCTTTTTTTTTCCTGCTTTTGTTTGAACTATTTGGGAGTAAGTCACAAAGATCATTTCCTTCATTTCTAAATATTTCAGTGTGTATCTCCTAAGAACAAGGGCATTCTCTCATCTAACCTCAGTGTGCTTATCAAATCAGAAAATTTAACATTGAAACAATACTATTGATTATTCAAATTCAAATGATTGACCATTACTATTCCTAATTCTAATAGCATTTTTTTTTTCCAATCCAGGATCTAATCCCAGATCACATATTGAATTCAGTTGTCCTATTTCTTTGGTCTCCTTTAGTCTGCGCTCAGCCTTTCTTTTTGTCTTTCATGACCCTGACATTTTAAAAAGAATACAGCCTTATTGTTTCGTAGAATATCCCTTAATTTGTGTTTGTCTGTTTCCTCATGATTATATTCAGGTCACGTATTTTGGCAGGAATACTGTATAAAAGATGTTGTGTCCTTTTGAGCCTACACTCTTAACCCCTGCACCATATTAAGTGTGAGGTACACAAGCTGCTAGAGGCAGTAGACATGCAGCTTGGAGCTCCAAAGATGCACTGTATCAAGACACTGATTTGGAAATCCTCAGCACATCGGTCATCTCTGAAGCCATGTGAATGATGGGCTCATTCAGTGATGGTATTAAGGATGGTATTAAGGATGGTATTAAGGATGGTATGCCAAGGGTCCTCAACATTTAAAGGATAGGTAGGGAGGGGTGACCTTCAATGGAGATTGAGAAGGGGCTGACTGAGAGGTGAGAGAAGAATCAAGTGAGTTCATTATCCTGGAAGTCAAGGGAGGAGAAAGGTTCAAGCATTACTGGGTAGTCATCTGTCAGCTGCTGGAGAGATGTTTGGTAAAATGAAGACTGAAAAATGTGCATTGCATGAGGAAATTTGAGGTTTTGGCAGAATTATCAAGAGATTTCAGTGAACTGCTGGAGAAGAGGGGTGATGAAGAACGATGTTAGAGAAAATTGAGGAGTAAGAAAATTTGTTGCAGTTACTGTTAAAAATACAGTGCAAATATATAAAGGCCAAGGAGTTCACAAGCTGTACCCCACTGGCAGCTCTTCATGGTGCAGAGGGCAGACAGCATCTGGAAGCCTGACATTGGATAACAGAGTGTCCTACAGACAGAGGGAGTGTAGCTATGAAGAATCCGGGTCAGGGGACACTTGGAAATCCAGTTCCCCTTTGCTACAGATGTCTGGGGAACTCGGGACAATTGCATTCTGGGTCTTGAATTCACTCTTATTTTTGGCCTCACAGTACTGAGGGGGCTTATTTTTAGGATTATGAGATAAGGGTCAGGCAACTTCAGGGGATTCTCTTCGTGCTCTCATTAAGTTCTGCTTCTTGGCCTGCAAAGGTAGGTCAGTGTCTCAGCCATTGCACAGCCACTTGGAAAGGATTTAGGCAACTTATATGAACTTGGCCCAATGTCTGAAACTGCTCTGGGTCTGATTATGTCATGGTTTAGGTGTGGAAGCCTATGCCTACTCCCCTGGCAAGAGTCAGGTCTTGTGAATGGGCTTCCTTGAGGCCTTTGGAATTAAACACCCATCATGCATCATGAGCTGATTATATGACCAGGAAAGATTCCTTTCGCCTCAGCAGAGTTGCTTTGTCAGGGCTCTTTGATTTAAGTTTTTAGCAAACATGTATTGAGTACCTATTGTGTGCCAAACACTAGGAGCGACAATTGGGAACACAACAGTGAACGAGACATAAGTACATAGTCCCTGCTTTTGTTAAACTTACAGTCTAGTGAGAGTCATATAAGAAATAAGCAAACATGTAAGTGAATAAAATAATGACTTATTCTGAAAGGGAATACTAATAGAATATTGAAAGGGAGGGTAACAGGGAAGGATGACAACTTTAGATTCAGAGTGAATTAGTTAAGTAATAATAATTAGTTAAGATAATGCTAGCTATTGAAACAGATAAACCCCAAATTATCAATGGCTTAAGATAATGGATATTACTGCTTATATAAAGGCCAATCAGCAGGGGTGAAAGGGGGCTCTGTTCCACATAGCCCTTCAGGGACCCAAGGTAATAGAGTCTCTGCCATCGTTAACACATGGCTTCCAAGACCTCTTTGGGTAGCGAGCAGAGAGGGGAAGAGAGTAAAGATCTCACCTGGGAAGTTTTCATGGGTCAGGCCTGGAAGCAGTGTACATTACTTCTGGTCATATGCCATAGGCCAGAAATTAGTGTGGCAGGCTGATAATGGCTCCCAAAGATATAATCTGTGTCCTAATCCTCAGAATCTGTGAATGTTACCTTGTTTGTAAAAAAAAAAAAAAAAAAAAAAAAAAGCCTTCTCAGATATAATTAAGGATCTTGAGATGAGGGGATTACTCTGGATTATTCAAGTGGACCTCAAATACCATCAAAAGTGTCCTTTTGAGAGGCAGAGGGAGACAAACAGAAGTGCTTTCTTTAGTACTGCCATTACATTGGCCTTTAATGGACTTGCCAACTTGATAGAATTCTCACTTGGAAATTTTTTCTGAATACCTATCATGGTGGGTGTTATGCTAGGCCTTCAATAAGCACAGGCAAATATACACAATCACTGCCTTCAAGAAGCATACAGTTGAGGACAAGGGCAATGTATATTTTTAATCTTGTATCCTGGGGACATTGTTGGACACACATGTAAGGTGATGGTTAATACTCTGTTAATTATTTGGTTGCTAGCTGCTGTACATCTGACTTAAAAGAATTAAAGAGTCCCTATTTTGCCAAACTTGTCTTCTCAGCTGCCAGAGGAATTCCACTTGGAAGTGTAAATTACTGGTTCGGCACTTCAGGACCCTATATAATTACTGCACCAGGGGGCATGATGTGCACCCAACAGACGCCTTGTCCAGGTAAGATATGGCATGGAGGTTCTTCCTGGGAGGTGGAAAGGTACGCCAGGGGCTCAAAGATCTATTCACTGCTACCTTGCCTCCAATTCTGCTGCAGAAGAAGCAGCAGAGGTGTGGGGGGCTGGAAAATGGTTGAGTCCATGACTTCATTTCCAGACTAAAATTCAGTGGCAAGTCAGTAAATGACAGGCTTCCATTTCAGGTTTACTTTTAACTATAATGTACAAATATGGAGCATACCTGGGCAACTCCCATCAGTGGGAACAGCCACTTCCTGCTTACAGCCTGAGCAGAAACATGTGCTCTTGCCAACTTCCCCCTTCCCCTTTCACACAAGCATAGCCATCATGCTTGTGCCATGCCCTTCAACCTCACTGAGGACTCCAGTCCTCGGCTTTATGCCCTGTACACTTTCCTTTAACAGTCGTGCCTGTCCATAGCTGCTGAGTCATGTTCCCAGGAGACAGAGATCGGTGATTCTCAACTACGGTCCACAGTCTGTTGGTGGACCACAAAAAGTCTCCTAACAGGTTACCAACAGACCCCCAAATGCAGGCTGTCTCTTGGGTTCTCCTTGGAGCATGACGTACATGTCCATCGGCTTATTTAGTTTTGTATACAGCTGAAGGATAGTTATCTATAGTCTTAATAGTTACCTTAGTTTTTAAGGGTTACTAAAATCTAATATTCAAGATCTAAAAGTAAGTGTTGCTAAAGTTTTATAAAAACGTTTTTGAGTTGAAATTCACATAACGTACAATTAACCATTTTAAAATGTACAATTCAGTGGTATTTAGCGTATTCACAATGTTGTGCAACCGCCAGCTCTCTCTAGTTTCAAAAGCTTTTCAGGACTTCCCTGGCAGTCCAGTGGTTAAGACCACGCTTCCACTGCAGGGGACACAGGTTTGATCCCTGGTCGGGGAACTAAGATCCCGCATGCTGCGTGGCGAGGCCAAAAAAACAAAACAAAACTTTTTCATCACTCCATAAGAATACCCCATACCCACTAAGTAATCATTCCCCATTGTCCCCTCCCCACATCTCTTGGTTTCCTCTAATCTGCTTTGCGTATTCTGTGTATATCACATAAAAGGAGTCAAGCAACATGTGACCTTTGTGTTTGGCTTATCTCACTTAGCATAATATTTTCAAGGTTCATCCAAGTTGTAGCATTATCAGTACTTTATTCATTTTTTGTGACTGACTAATATTCCATTGCATGTATCATAGTTTGTTATCCATTCATCCACTGATTAACATTTGGCTTGTTTCCACCTTTTGGTTATTATGAATAATATCTCCTACAAACATTTGTATATAGGTTTCCAGGTGGACATAAGTTTTCATTTCTCTTGGGTATATACCTACATTTGGAATTATTGGGTCATATGGTAATTTAATGTTTAACTTTTTTGAGGAACCACCAAACTATTTTCCACAGCAACTGCACTGTTTTGTATTCTCACCAGCAATGTACAATTTCCTATTTCTCCACATCCTTGCCAATGCTTGTTACTTAACTTTTTTTTGCTTGTTGTTTATATTAAAGCCATCCTAGTGATTGTGAGGAGATATCTCATTATAATTTTAATATGCATTTCCTTGATGATAAATGATATTGAACATCTTTTCATGTGCTTCTTGGCCATTTGCATATCTTCTTTGGAGATATATCTATTCTAGTCCTTGCCCATTTTTAACTTGGGTAGTTTGTCTTTTCATTGTTTGAGTTGTAAGAGTTCTTTATATATTCTGGATATCCTTATCAGATATGGGACTTGCAAATATGTTGCCCATTCTGTAGGTCATCTTTTACATTCTTGAGAATATCCTTTGATGCACAAAAGTTTTAATTTTTGATGAATTTATCTATTTTTTTCTCTTGTTAGTTGTGCTTTTGGTATCAAATTAAGAATCCATTGCCAAGTCCAATGTCATGAAGATCTACCCCTATGTTTTATCTAAGAGTTTTATAATTTTGGCTCTTATATTTCAGTTATTGATTCATTACGAGTTATTTTTTTTTTAATTTTAAAGAATATTTATTTATTTGGCTGCACCAGGTCTTAGTTGTGGCACATGGGATCTTTGTTGCTGCATGCAAGATCTTCATTGCGGCATGCAAGATCTTTTAGTTGCGGCATGCAGGATCTAGTTCCCTGACCAGGGATCGGACCCGGGCCCCCTGCGTTGGGAGCATGGAGTCTTAACCACTGGACCACCAGGGAAGTCTCTATGAGTTAATTTTTGTATATGGAGTAAGGTTAGGGTCCAGCTCTGTTCTTTTGCATGTGCTTATCCAGTTGTCCAGGAATCATTTGTTGAAGACACTATTCTTTCCCCACTGGGTGGTCTTGGCACCCTTGTTGAAAATCAATTGGTAATAGATGTTTAGGTTTATTTCTGGACTCTCAGTTCTATTCCCATTGGTATATGAGTCTATCCTATGCCAGTACCACATTATTTTGATTACTGTAACTTTGTAGTAAGTTTCAAAATAGGGAAGTGTGAGTCCTCCTATTTTGTATTTCTTTTTCAATATTGTTTTGGCCATCCATGGTCCCTTATAGCTCCATATGAATTTGAGAATCAACTTTTACATTTCTGCAAAAAGACCATTAGAATTTTGATAGGGATTGCATTTAATTTGTAGATCAGTTTTGGGGGAATTGCTATCTTAATTTAATATTGTCTTCTAACCCATAAACATAGGAACTCTTTTTATTTATGTAGGTCTTCTTTAATTTATCTCAGTAACGTTTTGTAGTTTTCAATGCACAAGTCTTTTTTAAAAAATATTTATTTATTTATTTGGTTGCACTGGGTGTTAGTTGCAGCATGCAGGATCCTTAGTTGTGGCATGCGAACTCTTAGTTGCGGTACACATGTGGGATCTAGTTCCCTGACCAGGGATCGAAGCTGGGCCTCCTGCATTGGGAGCGTGGAGTCTTCTCAATGCACCACCAGAGAAGTCCCAAAGCACAAGTCTTTTACCTCCTTGGTTACATTTATTCCTAGGTATTTTATTCTTTTGGATAATATTGTAAATGTAATTGTTTTCTTAATTTCCTTTTTGGATTGTCTATTGCTATAATTATGGTTTTTTAATTAAACTTTTTATTTTGAGATAATTGTAAATTCCCATACATTTTTGGAAATAATACTGAGATATTCTTTATACCTTTTACCTAGTTTCTCCCACTGGTAACATTTTGCAGAACTATAGTATAATATCACAACCAGGGTATTGACATGGATACAATAAAAATGCAGAACATTTACATTACCACAAGGATCACTTCTGTTTGTCTTTTTATAGCTACACCTACTTCCCTTCCTCCCCCTCCTCTTTAACGCATGGCAACCACTAATCTGTTCTCCATTTCTGTAATTTTGACATTTCAAGATTGTTATATAAATGGAATCATGTAGTATGTAAGCTTTTGGGATAGACTTTTTTCACTCAGCATTATTCCTCAAGATTCACCCAGGTTGTTGCATGTATCAATAATTTGTTCCTTCTTTTTGTTGAGTAATAGTTCATGGTATAGATGTACAACAGTTTGTTTAACCATTCAGCAGCTCAAGTATATCTGGATTGGTTGCAGGTTTTGGTACAGGTTTTTGTGAGAACATAAGTTTTCATTTCTTGCCCATTAGGATGGCTGCTATCAAAAAAAACCCAGTAAACAACAAATGTTGGCAAGTATGTGGAGAAATTGGAATGCTTATATACTGTTGGTGGGACAGCCACTGTGAAAAATAGTATGGAGGTTCCTAAAAACATTTTTAATGACCCAGCAATTCCACTTCTGGGTATATACCAAAAGAATAGAAAGCAGGGTCTAAGAGACATTTGTACACCATGTTCATAGAAGCATTATTCACAATAGGTAATAAAATGAGTTAGGAAGTGTTCCCTCATCTTCAATTTTTTGGAAAAGTTTGAGAAGGATTGGTATTAGTTCTTTATGTGTTTAGTAGAATTCAGCAGTGACACAATCAGGTCCAGGTGCTTTCTTTGTTGGGAGATTTTTTAAATTATTGATTCAGTCTCCTTACTAGGTCTATACAGATTTTCTATTCCTTCATGATTTAGTGTTATCGGTTTTAGGCTTCTAGGAATTTATCCATTTCTTCTAGGCTATCCAATTTGCTAACATACAGTTGTTCATAGTAGCATATTATAATCCTTCTTATCTCTGTAGAATCAGTAGTAATGTACCCACTTCCATTTCTAATTTTAATAATTTGAATCTTCTCTTTTTTTCTTGGTCAGTCTAGCTAAAGGTTTCTCAATTTTGTTGATCTTTTCAAAGAACCAGCTTTTGGCTGCACTGATTTTCTCTATTGTTTTTCTATTCTCTTTTTCATTTATCTATGTTCTAATTGTTATTATTTCCTTCCTTCTGCTAGCTTTGGATTTAGTTTGTTCTTCTTTTCTTAGTTCTTTAAGTTTTTAAGTTAGGTTGTTGACTTAGGATCTTTTTTGTTTTTTACTGTGATTTTAGCTATAAATTTCCCCCTTAGCGTTGCTTTTGCTGCATCCTTTGAGCTTTGGTATATGGTGTTTTTTGTTTGTTTGTTTTAAATATTTATTTATTATGTGGGGTGGTGGTGGGATGAATTGGGAGATTGGGATTGACATATATACACAAATATGTATAAAATAGATAACTAATAAGAACCTGCTGTATAAAAATATAAATTAGGGGCTTCCCTGGTGGTGCAGTGGTTGAGAGTCTGCCTGCCGATGCAGGGGATGCAGGTTTGTGCCCTGGTCCGGGAAGATCCCACATGCCACGGAGCAGCTGGGCCTGTGAGCCATGGCCGCTGGGCCTGCGTGTCCGGAGCCTGTGCTCCGCAATAGGAGAGGCCACAACAGTGAGAGGCCCACGTACTGCAAAAAATAAAAATTAAAAAAAAAAAAATAATTAAAAACAAAAAAAAGCTCAAAAAATTTATTTATTTATTTGGCTTCAGCGGGTCTTGGTTGTGGCATGTGGGATCTTTTAGTTGTGGCATGCAAACTCTTAGTTGTGGCATGTGGGATCTAATTCCCTGACCAGGGATCAAACCCGGGTCCCCTGCATTGGGAACACCGAGTCTTAGCCACTGGACCACCAGGGAAGTCCCGGTATGTTGTGTTTTCATTTCATTCATCTCTAAGTATTTTATAACCTCCCTTGTGAGTTCTTCTTTGATCCATTTGTGGTTTAAGAGTGCGGTGTTTAATTTCCACAAATTTGTAATTTTTCCAGTTTTACTTCTGTTGTTGATTTGTAAATTCATCCCTTTGTGGTCAGAGAAGCTACTTTGTATGACATCTATCTTTTAAAATCTATCCAGACTTACTTTGTTGCCTAATATATGTTCTATTCTGAAAAATGTACCATGTATACTTGAGAGGAATGTGTATTCTATTGTTGTTGGGTAGAGTGTCATATATTTGTCTGTTAGATCCAGTTGGTTTGTTGTATTTTTTATGTCCTCTATTTCCTTATTTATCTTCTGTCTGGTTGTTCTAGCCATCATTGTGAGTGAAGGATGTTGAAGTCTACAACTATTATTGTAGTACTGTCTATTTCTTCCTTCAGTTCTGTCAGTTTTTGCTTCATATACGTGATGGTCTGTCATTAGGTGTGTAAATGTTTATAATTGTTATATCCTTTTGCTGTACTGAACATTTTATTAATATGTAATTTTCTTCTTTATATCATAATCTTTTTGATGTAAAGTCTATTTAGTCAGATATTAGTATAGCCACTTTTGCTCTCTTTTGGTTACTATTTACGTGGAATATCTTTTTCCAACCTTTTACTTTCGGTTTATTTATGTCTTTGTATCTAGAATAAGTCTCATACACACAGCATGCAGTTGAATCATGAATTTTTATTCATTCTACCAATCTCTGTCTTTTAATTGGGGAATTTAATCCACTTACATTTAAAGTAATTACTGATGATGGGGGCCTTACTTCTGTCATTTCACTATTTGGTTTCTATATGCGTTATAGCTTTTTTGACCCTCATTTCCTGCATTACTGTCTTCTTTTGTGTTTAGTTGATTTTGACTCCTGATCTCTCTGACCTCCCTTCTATGCCCCCAGGACCCACGCGGCCTGGATGGGGTGGGTACCGGTCTGGGAGCTCAGCAGGCTCCCCGGCCTGAGTGGGCCAGGCAGTCACCCTCCACTCCTCTCCTGCTCTTCCCAGAGAGTCCCTCCCAGCTGCTTCTCCTGATCTCCCCAGCCTCAGGGGCGCTGATCCTGTCTGGCCTCCACTTCTCCTCCCCCCTCAGTCCCCTATGACCAACTGGTTCACTTTGGGGTTCCTTCTGTCTCCTTGGGCATCAGAGTCCCCCACCAGAGGCTGGCAGGTGCCCTAGTTGTGGGGAGACACTAACTCCATGTCTTCCCACATGGCCATCTTGACTCCCACTACTCTCATTTCCTTTTGTTTATATTTCATAGCTGTTCTCTCTCTCTCTGTGTGTGTGTGTGTGTGTGTGTGTGTGTGTGTGGCTACCATGGGGGTTACATCTAGCATCCTAAAGTTATAACACTAATTTGAATTTTTACTGTCTTAACTTCAGTAACATACAAATACTCTGTACCTTTACAGCCCCTCTGTCTTCACCCCTTTCAGTTGATGTCACAAAATTCATCTTTATACATTGTGCCCCCCAAAACATAACCTAATAATTCTTTTAAATGCATTAGTCTCTTTAGTTATGTAGAAAACAAAAATGGAATTACAAACCATTGTTATAATAATATTAGCTTTTATAATTGCTCAATGATTTACCTTTATTGAAATCTTTATTTCTTCATATGGTTTCAGATTGCTGTCTAGTGTCCTTTCATTTCACCTTGTAGGACTCCCTTAAGCATTTCTTGCAGGGCAAGTCTAGTAGTAATGAACTCCCTCAGCTTTTGTTTATCTGGAAACATCTTAATTTCTTTCTCACTCTCACAGGAGTTTGGCCAGATATAGGATTCTTGTTGGACAGTTTATTTCTAGCCTCCAACGTTTCTGGTGAGAAATCTGCTGACTTTCTTATTGAGGATCTCTTGTATGTGATTATTCACTTCTCTCTTGCTGCTGTCAAGATTCTCTCTTTATCTTTGGCTTTTGAAAGTTTGATTATAATGTGTCTCAGTGTGGATCTCTTTGAGTTCATCTTACTTGGAGTTTATTGAGCTTCTTTGATGTTTATATTCATGTCTTTCATCAGATTTGGGAAGTCTTCAGCCATTATTTCTTCAAATATTTTCTCTACATCTTTCTCTCTCTCTTCTTTTTCTGGAACTTCCACAATGTGTATGTTGGTCTGCTTGGTAGTGTCCCACTGGTCCCTTGGGCTCTGATCACTTTTCTTCAGTCTTTTTCTTTCTGTTCCTCAGTATCAACAATTTTTATTGTCCTGTAGTCAGGTTTACCGATTCTTTCTTTTGCCTATTCAAATCTGAATGTAAATTCCTCTAGTGAATTTTTCATTTCAGTTATTGTACTTTTCAGCTCCAGAATTTTTTGTTTGTTTCTTTTCTTGTTAGGTTTTCTATCTCTTTATTGATACTTGTATTTTGTTCATATACAATTTTCTTGACTTTCTCCACATTTTCCTTTAGTTCTTTGAGCATCTTTAAGACAGTTCTTTTAATGTGTTTTCTACATAGCTTAAACATAAATATGGATTATGGAAAAGTAACTTGACAGTCCATTCACACTGATACAGTCAAATCACTTAGGGAATGTAGCCAAGGAAATAAATAAAACTCATGTTTATTATAATATTAATTGGAAATTTGGAAGCAACATGCTCTCCAACAACCAGGGAGCACTTATCATAAGTAGCACTTATCAGCATGATAAAATATAGTCCAGCTTTTAATTTATGAAATACATTAATAATATAAAGAACTTTCTCATAATGTCAAGTAAAAAGAGCCAGATTTTTTAAAAATTGTATGGTTGTTATAATCATGATCGTATAAAAAAGATTAACAGAGATCCTACCAATAAATGCACCAAAATATTAAGTTTTTGTGTTTGATTATGGAATTATAGATGACTTTTAAAATTTTATCTCTTCTCTATTTCCCAAATACATATTCCTCATTGAGCATTTATTACTTTTGTATCATCAAAACAAACTTTATTAAGTATGTATCTGGGTACAACTATAAGTAATGTAGAGATATAACTATAGGGTTGTTTTCATGTTGATTTGAATTCTTCCACAACAAGAAATGATAAAGCCTTCAGCTGGTGATGGCTGAAGAATATGGCTTCTGCATTGTTCTGCCTGAATTCTCTTCCTGTGTCAGTTTGCTTCAGTATTATTATTATTATTATTTTTAATTTTAATTATTTATTTATTTTTGGCTGCATTGGGTCTTCATTGCCACGCAAGGGCTTTTCTCTAGTTGCAGCGAGCAGGGACTACTCTTCGTGCAGTGCAGGGGCTTCTCATTGCGGTGGCTTCTCTTGTTGCAGGGCACAGGCCCTAGGCGCATGGGCTTCAGTAGTTGTGGCACGTGGGCTCAGTAGTTGTGGCTCACAGGCTCTAGAGCACAGGCTCAGTAGTTGTGGCTCACGGGCTTAGTTGCTCCGCAGCATGTGGGATCTTCCCGGACCAGGGCTTGAACCCGTGTCCCCTGCATTGGCAGGCGGATTCTTTTTCTTCAGTCCGCGGGCCTCTCACTGTTGTGGGCTCTCCCACCGCGGAGCACAGGCTCCGGACGCGCAGGCTCAGAGGCCATGGCTCATGGGCCCAGCCGCTCTGCGGCACGTGGGATCTTCCCGTACCGGGGCATGAACCCGTGTCCCCTGCATCGGCAGGCGGACTCTCAACCACTGCACCACCAGGGAAGCCCGCAGGTGGATTCTTAACCACTGCGCCACCAGGGAAGCCCCAGTATTATTTTTTATCTTCTACCTCCTTCTTACTTATTCCTTGTCTACTCTAAAAAATGACTAACTGATATTTTTCCTTCTCAGCCTACCCAGTTGTGGTCTACAGACCCCCACCACCAGGATATGGAGCATCACCTGCGGGATATGGAGCCCCGCTTGGGGGATATGGAGCCCCACCTGCGGGATATGGAACCCCACCAGTGACATATGAAGCCCTCCCTGCAGGGTATGGAGTCCCACCAGCTGGAAATGAAGCCCCACCTCCAGCATATGAAGCTCCACCTGCTGGAAATAGAGCTGCCTCTCACAAATCTGTGGCAGCCCAGCCGGAGGCTTCTCTTCCATCTACCTCATCTTCTCAGGCTCATTTACCACCTTCTAAGAAGTAAACATTGAAGACTCACCAAGCAAAGGGCACCCTAAAACTGAAGTCACAATAACAAGGATGACTCAGGTATGTGGTTAAAGGCCTGTCTCAGATAGCTGTCACACCCTTTGGAAAGGCAACCTTAGAGGGAAGATGAAGCTTTACTTCCATGCCTAGATTTTAGAGGCAGAGTCAACTCTTGATTAGATGGGCTAAAGAAGAAGTAGAATTGTAGAGCTAATTCTCCAATAATTTGGTGTACATTGGGCTGCATTTTTTTTAACATGCCTTGAGTGAGTGTGGAAAAAATGTCCTGCATTTTCCCCTCCCTCATTCAAGAAACATTTATTATGCTCATTTTGCTAGGAACTAAGATATATATTTAAAAATATCAACTTGAACACTTTGTTGTTTTTCATAGCATTATTTATATTAGTGAATGGATGGGACAACTTAAATTTTCAGTAGTGAGAGAGAATTTCACAAGTTATGGTATATCCATACAATGAAATATTATGCAGCCATTGAAAATGATATCTAGAGGTAGGGGAAGCCTTCTATAAGAAGACCAAAAACAATGAAGAAATAAAGGAAACCAGTGATAAATTTGACTATAACAAAATTTGAAACTTCTATATGACCAAAGTTAAAAGATAGGCAAGAGACTAGGAGAAACTGATTTCCAACATATATATTAAACAAACAAATAGTTTGTAGTCAGAATATATGTACTTCTGCAAATCAACCCCAAATAAAAAATGGACAAAACATGTGAATTCTCAATTAACTGAGGCAATAGCATGACCAAGAATCATTTGAAAAGATGTTTGTTCAACCTGATTAGTGTTAGCTAAATGTAACTTGAAATGAGAATTTTTATCTCTAAAGATTTACAAACATTAAAAAGATTGAGACAGGGACTTCTCTGGTGGTCCAGCAGCTAAGACTGCGCGCTCCCAAGGCAGGGGGCCTGGGTTCGATCCCTGGTCAGGGAACTAGATCCCGCATGCCACAACTAAAGATCCCACATGCCACAACTAAAAAGATCCCGTATGCCACAACTAAAGATCCTGCATGCCAAAACTAAGACCTGGCACAGCCAAATAAATAAATAAATACTAAAAAAAGAAAATGATTGAGACAATTGACAAGGTGACTTCCACCTCGGGCCTTTTTCTATGTTCCTTGTTGGGAGCTGCCTGTAAGTGGCATCCATCCAAGCGAGAAACTAGCATAGGTTGCTGCGAAATGACTGTGCAGAGGTAGCCCCAAGCTGGCAAGGGATGGTCTGGGTTTTCTGGACTCTGTTTTTCTGGTAAAGGAACCCTGAGGACTGATCAGCTCTTGCAGGTCTAAAATCATGGCCCATGGACCAATAACATTCAAGTATGTGGCCATAGCGTTCTTTCAGCATGAGTGGGAATTTCTCGACCTTGTTCAGAAGAAGTTGTACTGCAGTGTGATGATGGAGAACTATAGTAACTTGGTCTCACTGGGCCATTCCATTTCTAAGCCAGACATAATTGTGTTATTGGAGCAAGGAAAAGAACCCTGGATGGTTGTGAGGGAAGAAACAAGAAACTGGAGTACAGATTTGGATTCAAGTTATAAAATAATCAGTGATAGCAAAACGTTTATACCTGGAAAACATTCATCTCTTCTTCTGCATCAGAGAATTCATAGTGGTGAGAAACCCTATGAAGATGATGCCTCAGACTTTGTTCAACATGGAAAAGTTGATATTGGGGCAGACAGCCAGGACTCCAAGATGGAATCAGTTGTACCACTGAAGAAGAAGCTCCTGAATGTCAAACTAAGGGAGCTGGCAAGCTGGATACTAATGTGGGATTTCATCCTTAAAGGAACTGCTGGAGCGTTTCAAAGAGGTTATTACTGGTATTACAAGTATTTCAACATGAAGAAAGGGAGCATTGTAGGGCTTTCTATGTTGCTGGCAGCTTACGTGCTTTTCAGCTACTGCAGTTCTTACAAGGAACTTAAACATGAGCAGCCAAGTGAGTACCTCTGAAGAGGGCACACTCTGCATTCCTGACTATGACTTTTGCCCGGCACCCCTGAATCCTTTCATATCCTGATGCAGAATTAACACCCAAGAAAAGATGACTGGTTAAAAAAAAAAAAAAAAAGGTCTCTCTTAGCAACTTTCAAGTATGTGATACAGTATTATTAACTATACTCACCATGCTGTACATTACACACCCGTGACTTATTTATTTTATAATTGGAAATTTGTAGCTTTTGACCACCTTCACCCATTTCACCCACTGCCTCTGGCGACCATCAATCTGTTCTCTGTATCTATGGCTTCAGTTTCATTTTTTTGTTTTTGATTTTTTAAAAAAATTTCACCTATGAGATCATACAGTATTGGTATTTGTCTTTCTCTGCCTGACTTCACTTAGTGTGATGCCCTCGAGATCCATCCATGTTGTCTCAAATGGCAGGATTTCCTTCTTTTTACAACTAGTGTTTGATTGTATATGTGCCACATTTTAAAAAAAATCCATTCATCTCGTGATGAACTCTTGTTGTTTCCTTGTCTTGGCTATTGCAGATGGCGCTGCATTGAACACTGGGGTGCAGATATATTTTCTTTTATTTTTATTTTTAATAAATTTATTTATTTTATTTATTTATTTTTGTCTGTGTTGGGTCTTCGTTGCTGCGCACGGGCTTTCTCTAATTGCGGCGAGCGGGGGCTACTCTTTATTGTGGTGCGCGGGCTTCTCATTGTGGTGGCTTCTCTTGTTGTGGAGCACGGGCTCTAGGCACATGAGCTTAATAGTTGTGGCACGCGGGCTCAGTAGTTGTGGCTCGTCGGCTCTAGAGCACAGGCTCAGTAGTTGTGGCGTATGGGCTTAGTTGCTCCGTGGCATGTGGGATCTTCCCAGATCAGGGCTCGAACCCGTGTCACCTGCATTGGCAGGTGGATTCTCAACCACTGCGCCACCAGGGAAGCCCCAGATATATTTTCAAGATAGTGATTTTGTTTCTTTTGGATTGTTGACTTAAGAAAAAATGTACAACATGAGAGTTGTGAGTTAAATTTTATTTGGGGCAAAATGAGGACTATAGCCTGGGAGACAGCATTTCAGATAGCTCTGAGAAACTGCTCCAAAGAGGTAGTGGGAGAGGTCAGTATATATGTGATTTTGGTGAAGGGGGAGTACATGCAATCAAGTACATATTTTTTTTGCAGAAGGTTACTGCTAGTCACGAGGAACAGACATCACCCTGAAGGATTTTAGTGCTTTACTAGATATGAGGAGATATAAGAATTGGGCTCATAAAATCAGCTCCTGAAAATACCTAACTATCTGAAGACCTGTTCTGCCAGTTTTCCCAGAGCACAGAGAACCTCATGTCTGCTCTCCACCCTGAACTCCTTTCAGGGGGTGTTGAAAGTCAGCAGATGCAGCAGCACATTATTTAATCCTTGTAGAGGTAGATGGCAAGTGCCAATTTGTATTTGACAGGATGAAGGCCAGGAAGTGGATCTGCTGGGTTATATGGTAGTTCTAGCTTTGATTTTTTGAGGAACCTCCATGCTGTTTTCCGTAGTGGCTGCACTACTTTGCATTCCCTCCAGCAGTACATAAGGGTTCCCTTTTCTCTACGTCCTTGCCAACACTTGTTATTTCTTGTCTTTTTGGTAGTGGCCATTCTTACAGGTGTGAGGTGATATTTTATTGTGGTTCTGATTTGCATTTCCCTGATGACTGGTGATGTTGGGCACCTTTTCCTGTGCCTGTTGGCCATTTGTATGTCTTCTTTGGAAAAATGTCTATTCGGAGCCTCTCCCCATTTTTTTTTTTTTTTTTTTTTTGCGGTACACAGGCCTCTCACTGTTGTGGCCTCTCCTGTTGCGGAGCACAGGCTCCGGACGCGCAGGCTCAGCGGCCATGGCTCACGGGCCCAGCCGCTCCGTGGCATGTGGGATCTTCCTGGACCGGGGCATGAACCTGCGTCCCCTGCATTGGCAGGCGGACTCTCAACCATGGCGCCACCAGGGAAGCCCCCCATTTTTTAATTGGATTGTTCGTTTGCTTTTCTATTAAGTTGTATAAGGATTTTTAAAAAATATATTCTGGATTGTAAGTCAACTATACTCCAATATAAAATTTAAGAAAAGACCGAAAAACTCAAGTGTTGGGAAGAATGTGGGGAAAAGATTATTTTTTATACACTATTGGTGGGAGCATAACTTGGTATGCCTTTTTATTTACTGTTAATTAATTATTCTTTTTTTTAATTTAATTAATTTATTTATTTATACAACAGCTTCTTATTAGTTATCTATTTTATACATATTAGTGTATATATGTCAGTCTCAGTGTCCCAATGGTATCCCTTTTTAGAAAGAAATTTGGCAGTACCTTTTTTTTTTTTTTTTGGCTGCACCGTGCAGCTTGTGGGATCTTAGTTCCCTGACCAGGAATTGAACCCAGGCCCTCATCAGTGAAAGCACCAAGTTCTAACCCCTGGACTGCCAAGGCATTCCCCAAGTACCTTTTAAAAGTTAAAATATTTCTACTCTTTTGTTTTGTTTTGTTTTTGTTTTTGTTGTTTTGCGGTACGCGGGCCTCTCACTGTTGTGGCCTCTCCCGTTGCGGAGCACATGCTCCGGACGCGCAAGCTCAGCGGCCATGGCTCACGGGCCCAGCCGCTCTGCGGCATGTGGGATCTTCCCGGACCGGGGCACGAACCCGTGTCCCCTGCATCGGCAGGCGGACTCTCAACCAGTGCGCCACCAGGGAAGCCCAAAATATTTCTACTCTTGATTTAGCAGCTTCACTTCTCAATATCCATTCCTAAGAAATACTTGCACGTGTGCACAACAACGTGGGACGATTTCATTACATTCATTGTTTCTAACAGCACCAAATTAGAAATATCCTATATGTCCATTAATAGTAAATATTTAAACTATGGAACTTGCATGCTACATATGCAAAAATTTCTATACCTTATTGTTAAATGAGAAAAACAAGTTTTATGCTACAGTAATTTTTAATTCCATCAGACTGAATGCCCCCTTTTAGAAAAAATATTTTGTAATGTCTCCTTTACTTCATTGGAATGAAATTCGTAGACAATTGCACATGATTCTGCACTATTTCAACCAAAATCAACCCAAGGCCATAAATGTGATATAAAGAAGAATAGTAGTTTGGGTGTAAAGTTTTAAGTATTTTAATATACATATAAATGCTCAGATTCCACCGTACTAGAAGACACAAAGAAGTAATCAAGTGCTCACTCACCATGTGTAGATTCACTTTAGTTGTAAAGTGATATATGTATGCCTATTGGTGACTTGAATATCATGGTGGCACTGCCATTGGCAATATTGTTTTCCAAAATGATACACATTTCTTGACAAATTTCCAAATAAAACGAAGTTTAATTTTCCCTCGATTTCCACAGTGGTTGAATTCCCGAAAAGTTCTGTCTATATTAAAATCATTTGAGCTCTAGGCTCAAATGATTATAAGCATGTATTTCACCTACATCAATGGCCAGGGATTCATCTGAAAGTCATGAGCGGGTATAGGATGATTTTTTGTTGTGAGGAACTGCCCTATGCCTTTCAGAATGTCTAGCATCTTTAAGTACCACCAGTGGCCTCCAGTTATGATAACCAAAAATATCCCCACTTATTTCCTAATCGCTCCTTCAGGGGTAATGCCATCCCTGCTGAGAACCACCATTCTAGAGTATTCTAGACTACTCAAAGGTTTTCAGCCTCTTAAGAGCTCACTGTTCTCTCACTCTGTCCAAGTTCCTAATTTCGTTGGCCTTTCATTACTTTCTTGCAGGTTTAATTTATTTGTTAAGCCACATGAAAGTGAGGCATTAAAAATTTAATTCTTTTTAGATATTGTATAGCAGAAGGGTTTCAGGGGCTCCAGTCCACAATATTACTAGACACAGAAGACATTTAAACCAAAACATTTTTTCTATGCATATTTATATGTAGTTGAGAACATGCTATATATATATAGTGTTTCAGCTATTTTACAAACAAGTTTATAGGTTTTTTTAAAAAATAACTTTATTGAGATATAATTGATATATTAAAAACATATATATTTGATGAATTTTATAGGGTTTTTTTTGGCCACACTAGGGATGGAACCCAGGCCCTCAGCAGTGAAAGCACTGAGTTCTAACCACTGGACCACCAGGGAATTCCCTTAAAAAGTTCTTCATAAATATCATTAGTGGCTACATAATATTCTGACATGGTTACACCATTACATATTTTCTTGATCCCTATTTAAGATATTTGATTTGTTTGCAGGTTTTTGCTATTACTAACAGCATTGTTAACTTCTCTGTTATGTAGAGCTTTAAAAATTTGAGGGGGGTGTCATTTCCTTAAAACAGATTAGAGTTATTGATTGACTCTCATTGTAATAATTAGGAAACCAGATCTTCTATATTCCCAAGGACAGCCTTTCCCAAGGAAGTCAGGGGGGTGTTATTTAAGGGTGTTATGTGAAAAAAGGGGTTATTGAGTCATATATATTTGAAAAAGCTAGGTAAACTGATTTCTTCATGACTTCATGACTTCTCAGCACCTATAATGAACATCATAAATTTCCAAGAGGGAGAGATTTTCAATTATACACCTTTTTTCAAAATTATTTGACCTTAGACTATTTAATTCACTAAACACTTTGGAAAAACTATGGTTCAGTGGAACAAAGTTTGGGAAACACTTTCTGGGATATTAGAATTAAAATGGACTTCAAAGCTTTTTCCAACAATGAGGCAAGTCAAAGATCATTCTTCCTCCCATTCCAAGAAAAAGAGTTTCATGTCCAGTTTACAGAGAACAGGAGATCTTCTTAAAGAAGCTATATGATAATATAGAGAGCAGCTAGCTGCTGCTCCCTCTTAGTTACTGGCATTGAGTCATGCATGGGTCTACGAAACTGCAGTGTCAGTAGCACACGGGACTGCCTGTATGCCCAGTCCTGGCACATTATGCTCGTTAGTATTCAAGGCTCTGCAAGGTCTGGCCCTTCCAGTGACCTCTCCAGCCAAGTGACCCAGCTGAGCATGACCTTTGCCTCTGTACCTTCCTCTCCACTTGTTCTACTCATCTTTCAAAACAGCCCAGAAGTCC